ATTTAATTTTATAGGTATATCACCACCTAAGTCTTTATATTATGGGAGTTCTATTCGTTTGAAGTCAGGTCTTGTGCTAATTGAGACATCCTTTCCACTTAATATATCCAACTTGTTTCACACAAATTCTTGCCATTCAAAAACCTCCTTAGTATGTTCCAACACACCTTAAACATAAATTTTCATTTCAAAATGATGTGTATCTATCCCACAGGTCTTCTTTAATAATCGAATACGTTATTCCCAAATATCGCTGGTGCACTTTAAAATCTTAAGTCATTAGGAAATTTTAATGGGGCCTTACGAATTCTCACCCAACTGGCAAAACCCTTACATGCTTCACCGAGTACTGACATGAGGATCACTTATACTTGCAGATATGGATGGAGAGATATGGCCAAAACCTATAAACTCAGAAGCAGTCAAGAAATATTATGTTTAGTATTATGTTTGAACTTTCTATTTGATGTAACCTGAACTACGCTTGACCTAATTCCCATTTAAGAGGGGATATGTAGGCAGCCCTGTGAGTTCGTTCGCATCATAATAAAATCTTTATTCCCCATGTGGTCAGAAACTGGGGCAAGATCTCGAGTTTGCCTAATCTCATCGTGTTTAGGATCACCAAGGAATATATTGCCAGAAGTATGCATCTAAACTGGGGCAGAATTTTGAGGAAGATCCTCAAAATTCCGAGTTAAGGAGGTTGCAATGTCTCAAAAGCGTGTCACAGTCACCGATTCGACAAAATTATTTGCTTTAATGCATTATCACATATTTTGAACGAACTGCATTTTTATATAAACAATTTATCACAAATGCATGTTTATCAAAAATTTCATTTTTCTGTAGTAGCCAGACGTTACCTAGGGTGACTCAAACAGGACCTCAAGACAGGAGCGAAGGCAAAGCAAGAAATCGAGAGCACGAACCAGCCTTCCCCCCCCAAAACTCATGAGTTTTCTTTGGATGCAGGCACGAGGGACAAAATAAACACGTCCGCAAGCATATACAATCTTCACACTGATAGAGGTCACCAAACGCAAACGCATCAAGCTAAGAAATACCTCACCCTCTCACATTTAATCACTGCTCTTCTTGCATGAGGCTAAGCATTGCCTCCACTATTATATAAGGCTAAACGCTGCCTTCCTTTGCATGAGACTAAGCATTGTCTCCGCTATATTGCATAAGGCTAAGCACTGCCTCCATTATTGCATAAGGCTAAACACTGCCTTTACCATTACAAAGGCTAAGCATTGCCTTTCCTTGCACACGAGACTAAGCACTGTCTCCATTCTATACATGAGACTAATTTTCCTTACATTTTGTTCTTTTGTAGGCTCTAACTCTCTTCATTCATTTTGCTGATGGTCATCCTAGAGATTGAAAGTGCTCGTAGGGAGTAGATACGTAAAGATATTTATGTGAAGTTGAAGGATAAGTACTTCAAATGCCTTGAGAAGTACCGGAAGCTCCGGTGCCGGCTCCGCGAAAGCGACGATGTGCGCCAACTAAGGGAGGACTTGAAGGAAAGAGACGAGGAGCTGGTGCGGGTAGTGGGAAAGTGCAGCGTCCTGGAAGGGATATTGAGGAGCAAAAAGGAAGAGCTCTAGCTTAGCAAGGGGGTAGAATCCCAGTGCAGTGATCTCAAGGCTCAGGTAGTCTTGCTGCGAGGTCAGCTTGAGGAGTGTTAATTCAGGGCGAAGGCTTTTAGTGGCGAGTTCGCTGAGAAGACGGAGGAGATAGAGAAGACGGAGTCCACTTGGCCGAAGGCTTTGAGGAAGGCGGAGTCCCTTGAGTTGGTGATCCAAACTCTCTGTTCTGAGTGAGAGAATGATTTGTCAATGACAAGGCTTAAAGAAGAGTGGCTCGATGAAAGGATAGGGGGGTTGGAAATAGAGACCTCTGATTTATGATCGGGTTGCTACTCTGGAGGCCGAGAAGGCTAAACTACTTGAACAAACTTCTTCATCTACGGCTTCTAGATTCCTAACATTCCTTGTGACTTGTACGAAGAGTGGATTCACACCGAAGCCCAATTGGATGTGCTTCGCGAGTTGCATGTAGCGGGCTCCATTTCTGCTGTAGATTTTGAGGGTGCTCATGTCAAGGCTCGTAAGGCTCGGATTGCTTGTGGTTATGATTCGGCTACTCCTCGTCCTGGTGAGGAAGATGAGGACGATGATGATGCTATAGATCGCCTCGAGGACGAGGCCTGGTATGATTCCATATACCCTCCGGGCAAGGATTGAGAGGGCGCTGAGGGCCGAGTCGGTGAGGGTATCAGTGATCTGGGTGGTGATTCCGTTGAAGACAGAACTTGCGAGGGCACTAAAGGCCGCAATGGCAATGGCCCGTAGCTTTCTTTTTAACTTTTGTTTTTTGTATTTTTACCGGCATCTTTAAGAGCCTTTGTAAAAAATTGAAGTATGAAATATCAAAGTTGTTCCTTGCATCATCTTGGGCAAATATATAGACGTCCCCTTAAACTTGGCTCCAGTTTCCATTTTGACACCTTAATTTAGCACTTTTCCTATTGAACACTTTAATTCTATTTTGGTGTATACCATTTAAACACAACGCATGTCCGGCAAAAGGAGCCTTATGTCAACACATGATAAGCGCGTGAATGTTATTAATATTTGATTAGGTGGATATTCCAACGGTAAAAATAAAACTCACCCGTTAGACCCATTTTAAAACACCCGATTTTCCCATTTTCTCTCTCAAGAATGCCCTAATTCCTCTTTCGTCTTATTCCCTTGCAAATTCGCCATTTTTCCCTTCTACTGAAGCTTAGGTACCCAAGCTTGAATCTTGATGTGATTTCTTCCTCATCTTTCTCGTTTATTAGTTTCATGTCACAAAAATCAACAATTTCTCGCAATGGAATGGAAGTTTGCCACTATGGATTTAATGCGCCACTGACTATATCATGGTCATCTGCAAACCCAGGTCATCGATTTTATGGTTGTAAATTGGTAAGTCGATCGTATTATTTTTGTTAGACCCTTGAATTTCTTAATAAAGAAATTTGTTTTTAATTTTTTTGGCCGCATTTCTTTTTGAATTTTGTAGGGTCGAGGTGGCTGCAAATATTTTAGATGGCATGATGATGAAATGCCTGATCAAGCTAAGAGGGTTATACGGGGACTGTTGAAGAGAGTCGAAAGAACTGAGAAAACAGTTGTGCGGTTGAAGTGGTTATTTGTTGTTGTGGTGGTGTTGTTTCTATGGATTTGGATTTGGTGATGCTGGTGGTTTGAAGAACAATGTAGTATTTTTATGATATGCTGGTGCTAATAGTGTTGTAGTTCCTGCTATTAGTTCAAGAAAAATGTAATATGTTGGAAGTAGGTACTAGGAATTTGGCCTTTTGTTAATATACATTATCTTGTTATGAATGAAATGGAATGACCAATTTTTAACGCAAATTTAAGTTCAGCTGCACTTCCATAATGTGTTATGAATGAAATGCAAATTCATATTCATGAATTGAAAACATAACTGCCTAAACATTCCATTGCATAATGTGATGGACTAGAATTACATCCAAGCTCAAAAATAGAGCATTGTTTTGGTCTACAAATTACAAAAAAATAGAGCATTTTTTTTCCAAACATATAACTGCCCAAACTAGTAAACTCTAATAGAGCATAACTGCCCAAATAAAAAACTGGTAGTGACATCTTAGATAACATAAATAAAAACTAGTCTGCCTCACAGTGTAGATGCATCTGAACTTGTTTGACTTAAAGAACCTTTTTTCCTTGCTGCACTCATTTGCTGAAGTTGTGACCTTGTCACTGCATTTCTTCCTTTAAACTTCAATACGGGGGACTTAAATCCAATGTCTATGTTAGTTGCAGATGTATCCTTGAATGTCCCAACTGATATAACTCTCTCAGATGATGTACTAGGCTGTAAAATACAATGAATTAGTAAAAAATAGAACAATTCCATCCCACAAAACTGCATTATAATAAACTATACACCCTTACATTCAGGATAGTAGTTCTAGTCATAGTGTAAGTGAAAATCCCAAAACCAGTATGCCTTGGCCTTTTATGTCCAATGGTTGCTGCAGTAGCCGAGCCTCCTCCTAGTGTAGTTCCTCTTCCTTTTTCCCTACCTAGTTCATGGCCTCTTCCTCTACCAAGCCCAGTTGATTGGTTGTTGCTTTGTCTTTTGACAACACTTGTATCCTCACATATAGAGGATGGATTGCTTTGTTGAGATGGTATTTTCTGAGATGATCTTGGTGGAGGTGGTGGCATATTTTGACTTTGTTGAGTAGCACTTCTTGGAACATGCTGACAGAAGTAAAATAAAAGAATATCAGAATTGCAAAAAAAGAATGTAAAAGATAGAATTACAAATATCAGAACTTACCCCTTCCCTGCATCTAGTTTTGTTGTGTCCTGTTTGTTGGCAGTTTGAACAAGTCATCTTTACCCCTTTCTTTGATAGTTTACCATGATTTTTTCTTGGTTCATCCTTGGCTTTTCTCCTACATCTATTTGGTCTACCTGGCATAGGTTTAGGTTCCGGAGGTTCTATAGATGGATTTGTTGAATCCGACCACATCTTCATATTGGGAATTGGTTGAATGAAATGCTGGTAAGCTTTAAGGAAAGTTTCCTTCCTATACCAGTGGGCAACATAATCATCTGGGTCCATTTCTCTATCATAGAATGCACATACTGCATGTTGACATGGAATGCCCCTCAACATCCATGATCTACAAGTACATGTCATGGTCCTAAAATCAACAATGAATCTGTACACACCTTCATCAACTTCAAACCCATGTTCTGCATTTCACATAACCTTACACCTCCTAGAAAGGGCTTTGTTCTCTTCCAGTATCATCCTAGCCATTGCTGCAATGTCAGTAACCCAAGTCTCAACAAACTTCCTCATTTCAATGGTCCTATTCATGATTTTATGTCTAATTTCTTCCAACATAGTTATAACAGACTTGTGCCTAGGACCTACTATCCAAGAATTGAATGTTTCACAATATTATTCTCAATGACATCACATTTTGAATCTTCTCTAAAGTATGCCCTACACCAATACTCTTTATCATACTTCAACAAGTCTTCACATATCTTATAACCAAGCTTATTCATTGCTTCTAGTTCTTCCTTGAATTTTACTTCATAAGATGCTTTGGCACATCTCCAAAATTGTTTCCTCCTTTCTTCACCTCTCCAGTTCTTGGACCAGTTAGACCAAATGTGTCTAGCACACATTCTGTATTCTGCCATTGGTAGTAATTCCCTTATAGTTGGTACTAGTCCCTACAAAAAATAGTAATAACTGTTAGTGGACAGTATATATAAAGCAAGAAAAAGAAAAATTAAAAGTTAATTGTAACTTTACCTTTTGCATATCTGACATAACAGTTAAGCCAACACCATCTCCCAACTGTAAATCTGCAATCAAATATGTGATAAACCAGCTCCAGGAGTGTTTTGTCTCTTGATCAACTACAACCCATGCAATAGAAAATATTTGATTGTTCCCATTTCTACCAACTGCAACAAGTAACTCACAGTTGCAGATTCCCTTTAGAAAACAACTATCAAATCCTATAATCCTTCTGCACCCTTATAACCATCTTCTTTTCAAAGTATCTAAACATAGATAGAAATAGACAAACAGATTCTTGCCAGGAATAGTCTCACTATCTGTTCTGATCCAGCATGAACTCCCAGGATTTGTTTGCTTAATAATATCAGCATAATCAGCAAGTCTGTTAAATTCCATCCTCCAGTCACCCATGAATTGACTTATCACCCTACACTTAGCCCTGTAACAAACAGTCCTTCCAACATACAAACCTAACTTATCCCTGACCAAATCCTGAATCTCCCACAACTTAATATTTGGCCGGAAAATAATCCTATCTTTATACTTATTGGCAATGTACTTAGAAGTACATAATTTGTTCTTATTTTTGGTGTTGCACTTATGAGCTGGATGGTACTTCTTCACAGTAAAGTCACATGAATCTCCATAATTGCTTGTATACAATTCCCAGTTACACTTGGCTCCTTTACACTTAACTCTAACCCTATCCTTTTCATTAGGCCTAATTGTTAGTTGCACTTTGTTCTCCACAGCATATGAGGCTACTGCTTTTCTAAACTCTACAGCATTTTCAAATACCATACCAAGCTCAAAAATAGCAAGGTAACAGTCAGGGTCAAACCTTACCTTTTTACTTCTCCTTCTAGGAGGTAAGTCAATACCTCTTTCAGCTAAAACATCTAACTCATCTGTGCTATCATCACTTCCAATATCAGAACTGGTGTAGTAGTCTTCATCCCCTCCTAATTTTCCAGCAAACCTGTCCTCCTTAGATGGTCTGCCAATATCCTCAAAGCCTTTATCTATTCCAGCTTCTCCCAGAATAATCTCTTCAGTTGGAGTAGGTTTATTTCTTTGTTTCTTCTGTTTTTTCTTCTTTCTTCTTTCATGCCTTAATGAAGTGAGCTCTTCATTCACATCACTATCATCTTCATCAGGAATGTTATCTAATTCAGACTCACTACTTGACAGATCTGATGCCAAACTAGCATCTATGTTTGTTGTTTCTTCAGCCCCTTGTAAATTCTCACCTGCAACTCCAACATCATCTAGATTTTCCTCAGGCACAGATGTGTTATTTGCAGCACTTTCTTGGACATTTATATCCCCTGGAACAGTAGATGGTTCAACAACTTCTGGCCCACATAAAAGGCCACATGGGACAGTCTCATGAAGCAACACAGGCTCATTAACTACATGCTTAATATACAAATCTAAATGATCAAGATGATTAAGGTGACAAACTATATTATACATTTGTTCATCATTTTCAATCAAGACAAAGTCATTAGATTTAGGATTAATTAAATAAAAACCCTCTACCTCAGCATAACCCATATCCTTTTTGTAGGACAAAAGCTCAAAAAGAGAAAAGTGGTCCTTGTCTATCATGTGACCATCCTCACCCCTCTTTCCTACATATCTCGGGATAGGATCCTTGACAATATGTCCACCATGGTGAAAATCAACAAGAATATATTCATCTGCAGACATGTCTAGACCCTTGAAACTTCAGTCACGACCAACTCCCGTCACGACCAGCTCTAGTTACGACCAGCTCCACTCACCACCACGGTCAAAAGAAGCAAACGATTACCCGTATTAGTAATATAATGGCCAAATAGTTGACGGACAGTTGAATCTAACTCAAAATCGATGAAGATTCCACCGGGAATCGGTCTCAATGTAGTTTATTAGGGTTTATTAGGCTAAAGAAAGGGGATTTTGGGTGGAAGATCGATTAAGTGAGGCGAGGTATGTGGGTAAGGTAAAAACGGGTTTTTTTATCCGACCTGGATAAATAAACACGTGTCAGACTATTATTGGTATGTTATTCCACGTGGAAAGCATTTAAAAACACGCGCTTAAGTTTTTACAGCCCGGTCATGCATTGTGTTTAAATGGTATAGTCCAAAGTACAGTTAAAGTATTCAATAGGAAAAGAGCTAAGTTAAGGTGTCAAAATGGAAACTAGAGCCAAGTTTAAGGGGCTGTACACCTATTTGGCCCATCATCTTCCATTCCCGTGGTTTATTTTCTGTACTTGTATATTTTTTGCTTCTGTTGTTTACTCATTTTGCTTTTTGTCCTTCTCATTGTTGTTGTCTTTTAGCTGGCCGTGGTCTTGGAGCTAAATATATATGGGTCATATCAGCCCTTTGTTTATATAGGTCGAGTGTGTTTGATCTTGGCCGATGGCCGATAGTGTTGTTTGAACTTGGTCGATCTTGACCTTTTGTTAAGTTGTGGACGAGGGCCGGTAGGTGTTTGTTCGAGTTTGGCCGAACTTAACCTTTTCGTATTCGTGGCTGAGGGCAGTAGGTGTTTGTTTGAACTTGGTCGAATATAACCTTTCATTAAATAGCGGTCGAGGGTAGGTAGGTGTTTATTCGAGCGAGGTTGAACATAGCCTTTTCATTAAATAGCGACCGAGTAGGTGTTTGTTCGAGCGAGGTCGAACGTAAACTTTCATTAAATCGCGGCCGAGGGCCGGTAGGTGTTTTTTCGAGTGACGTTGTTTGAGTGAGGTGAACATAACCTTTTTGTAGTCGTGGCCGAGGGCTGATAGGTGTTGTTCGAGCGGGGTCGAACATAACCTTTTCGTACTCATGGCCGAGGGCCGATCGGTGTTGTTCCAGCGGGGTCGAACATAACCTTAATACAAAAAGGTGTCATGATAAACGTAAGTTTCTTATTACTTCGACATTGTTGCTTTGGTTACATACTTGGAGAGAGTTATAGAATTTGGGTGATGGCTGGCATTCCAGTCCCAGTCCCAGTCTACCTAGTCCTTTCATTGTTTAACTTGGAGAGTATTGAGGATTTGGGCAATGAAAGAGTAACAACAGTCCCTCCTTCGGTACTTCAACTCGAAGTGTTCCCTTTGTCGACTCGTTAAAAACCTCCTTGAGAAAACCCAAATGGGACAAAACTCAAGTGAGGGAAAAAGAGTACGACTTGGGGGACACTTTTTCTCTTAGAAGTTGAAGTATTTGAGGTGGCTGATGTTCCAATTATTTGGTAGTTGCTTTCCTTCCATTATCTCTAGTTTGAATGAACCCTTATTTGCTTTGGTTGTTATTTTGTACGGACTATCCCAGTTTGTTCCCAGCTTGCCTTCCCGTGGTTGTTTGCTCGCTTGGGTTTTGGCTTTCAACACGTAGTCCCCGACTTTAAGCGGCCGGCCCTTTGCTTTCTTGTTGTAATAGCGTTCTGCTTGTTGTTTTTGGGTGACCGTTCTTATTTATGCCATATCACTTCGTTCGTCGATTTCTTCGAGTTTCTGCCTTCTACTCTCATCGTTACTCGTACCGCTTTTGTGGGAGTACCTTAGGCCGTGTTGTCCGACTTCGACCGGTTACTGCCTCGGTCCCATAGACCAAAGAGTAGGGCATCTTTGATTTGCTCGTCTTCAGAGTTGTTCGGTAGGCCCATAATACTTCTGGTAATATTTTCGGCCACAGTCTCTTGGCGTCCTCGAGCTTTTTCTTCATGGTGTTTAGTATGGACTTGTTGAAGGACTCTACTTGCCCGTTACCCGCTGGGTGATATGGGGTTGAGAGTATCCTCTTGATATGCCTTTTCTCAAAGAATTCGACGCTTTTCTTTCCTGTGAACTGGGGTCCGTTGTCATAGCTGATCTCCTTGGGTAGGCCGAATCGGCAGATGATGTTCCTCCATATAAAGGTGATTACCTCTTCTTCTTGTATTTGGGAGAATGCTCCCGCTTACACATATTTAGAGAAATAGTCAGTTAAAACCAAAAGAAATTGTACATTACATCGCCCTTTTAGGAGGGGCCCACGATGTCCATTCCCCATTTGATGAATGACCACAGGGAGGTGACTGAGTGGAGGTGTTCGCGTGTTTGGTGAATCATTGGGGCGTACTTTTGGCACTGTTCTCATTTCCTCATGAAGTCCGAGGCATCTTGTTTCATGGTGGGCCAATAGTATCCCGATCGTATGAGGCATCTGACTAGTGCTCGATTGCCGGAGTAAGCACCGCAATGGCCTTCATGGACTTCTTCGAGGACGCGCTGGGTCTAGTTTGGTCCTAGTCATTTCGCCAGAGGGCCGCCATAAGTCCTCTTGTACATGTTGCTATGAAGGAGACTGTATCTGGCCGCTTGCATTCTTAGTTTCTTTGCTTCTTTCTTGTCATCTGGGAGTAATCCGTACTGCAAATAGAAGATAATACAATTGCGTCAATCCTAGGTTAACTTTATGGTTCTTTCCATGATTTGGTCTAGTGATGAGTTGAGGAGGTGGACTACGCTTTTATCCCCGGTTGTGATGCTGTTGGTAGCTGCGGCCAATTTGGCGAGGCCATCCGCTTCGTCATTCTGTGCACGAGGGATCTGGTCGAGCTGACATTCGTTGAACTTAGGCAGTAGATTACATATTTTGGTCTGATATTTTTTCAACCTTTGTTCCTTGATTTTGAAAGTCCCTATGACTTGGTTGACTACGAGCTGGGAATCACATCGGAGTTTCAACCGCTTCTCCCCATATTTGAGTGCTAGCATCAACCCTACAATAACGGCCGCATACTCGGCCTCATTTTTAGACATATCCGGGAACCTTGTGGACTGCGAATTACTTTGCCTGTAGGGACCTCGAGTACGAGTCCCAGTCCAGACCCTGATGCATTAGATATGCCATCGGTGTATAGGACCCTGAGGTATTGTGTTTGGGGGGAAGCTTGGACGACTTCCTTTTCAATTTCAGGCATTATTTTTGCACTAAAGTCGGCGAGCACCTGTGACTTTATTGTCGTTCGCGGCTTGTATGTGATATCGTGCTCACCTAGCTCGATGACCCACTTGGCCAGCCTCCCTGATAACTTGGGCTTACGCAAAAGGCTCCTTAAGGGAAAGGTTGTAACGATCGAGATGGGATGGCACTGGAAATAGGGTCTAAGCTTTCGTGAAGCTACGACCAATCCCTTGTTGCGACACCAAAAAACCCAAGAACTTTCCCGAGGCTACACAAAATGCGTATTTCTCCGGGTTTAGTTTCATTCTGTACCGTCTTAGTATGTCAAAATCTTCCTTCAAATGTTGATGTGGTCCTCTGCCTTTACGGACTTGACCAACATGTCATCTATAGATATTTCCATGGTCTTGACGAGCTGGTCTTTGAATATCTTTGTGACCAATCTTTGATATGTTGCCCCCGCGTTCTTCTGCCCAAACGGCATGACCTTATAACAATGCATTCCTTGGTGGGTGATGAACGTGGTCTTCTCCTGCGTACGCATCCAAGAAACTCAACAGCTCGTGCCCGGTTGGTTGCATCGATGAGTTGATCGATATGGGGTAATGGGAATGAATCCTTCGGATATGCTTTGTTCAAGTCTATGAAATCCATGCACATCCTCTATTTCCCATTTTTTTTGGACCATCACTATGTTGGCGATCCACTTAGGGTACATCGACTCCCTGATGGAGCTATTTTCTAATAGTTTCTCAACCTCCTCGCGCATTGCATCATTGATGGCAGGGTTGAATTTATGCCTGACCTGTCTTATTGGGGGGTGGAACGGGTCGGTGTTTGATTTGTGTGTAGCAATTTCCCTTAGGATGCCCGTCATATCTGCATAGCTGAAGGCAAACAAATATACATTAGTTATTAAGAATTAACTTAATTTACTTGGTTCCCGGAGTTTGCAGCTGATGTAGGCCTTTTTGCTACGGTCATTGAGGTCCAATTGAATGGGGTCGAGGTCTTCTATAGTCGAATCTGTAGCCTTGATCATTTCGGGATCCATGATGACGTCCTTGGTCTCTCCTTGCATCGACCTCGACCCTGTTGATTGCTATGCCTCTTTTTCCTTGTCTTTTTTCTGTTGGGTTGCCATGCTGTCTAAGGCAATGCGGTAGCATTCTCGGGACGTGCGCTGTTTTCTGCATATGCTGAATATTCCGCATGGTGTTGGGAATTTAATTACTTGGTATGGGCTGGAGGGGATGGCTGTCACGGGATGTATCCATGGTCGTCCCACTATGGCATTGTACGCGGTGGCCTAGTCCATGATGTGGAATGTCATCTCCAGAGTCACGCCGCCGGCCAAGACGGGGAGTGTAATTTCCCCCGACGCCCGCTCAACTGCATTCTTAAAACTGGTTAGCATGATACAACGCGACACTATCTTATCTTTGAGTCTCATTTGGGTGAGGATTAGGGGATGGATAATGAATGCTCCACTTCCATCGTCCACCATGACACGTTTGGCATCAGTATCTAAAATGCATAAAGTAATGACGAGGGCATCATTTTGAGGAAAAGTCAAACTGCCGGCATCCAACTCATGGAAGATGATACTTTCTTCGAGTCTGTCGTACCGTTCATTGGTGATAGACCGCTTGAGCTTGTAAGTGGTGGTTAACTTTACACCCTTGATAGAGGCATCATCATCGCCGCCGATGATCATGTTGATAGTACGAGCTGGTGATGTCGGCTTTGGTAGGCCTTGTTTTTCACGTCCTCTAG